GATAATGAAATTATTATTATTATTGTTATTATTACCATTTATTTGCTTGTTTGTTTACTTTTCTTCATTACTGTGTTTTCCCAAGAAATTTCCTGTAATTTATTTTTGACTTATAATGTGTTTGTCTAATGTTTGTATAATATTACACGTAATTACTTTCATCTACACTGTGCTAAGTCTGTAATTGGCCTTGCGGCTGTTGACTTGGCACATAAATAATAAAGAATTGAATTGAATTGAATTATAATTTATTTGCTTGTTTGTTTACTTTTCTTCATTATTGTGTTTTCCCAAGAAATTGTCTGTAATTTGTTTTTGACTTATAATGTGTTTGTCTATAATGTACACGTAATTACTTTCATCTACACTGTGCTAAGTCTGTAATTGGCCTTGTGGCTGTTGACTTCGCACATAAATAATAAAGAATTGAATTGAATAATGCAACAATATAAAAGACATCTTTCTTTTATATTTTTTTATATTGTATTACTGACGGGTGCTTTAATAATAAGGATAATGCCTCAATACAACAGGATGCTAACATATAGTAAAATGCTGAATTTGTTGAAATCAGCTTTGTTGGTCAGACACACTGTTGTTCACTATTCAAAAATCAACGGTGGTCTTCACAGCAACAATCAATTTTGTTTCCCAGGTAACACTGGCAAGATGAATCATAAATGAGAAAGTACTATGAGTATGTGCTGTATCTTTTCACAGATTTCTTTAGCTGAGTGAAGTTTTAACGTGTCTTTCTGTCAGTTTGCAGTGTTACTTGCAATTGTATTTCTGTTGGAACTCTCTGCTGGTCTTGCTGGCTACATATTGCAAGATGGATTGAAAGAGTACCTTGTGAGCAGACTAAATGTTTCAATGGAACATTATAACACAGATTCTGAAATTGCTGGCACTATTGACTTCATGCAGGAGAGGGTAAGTTATAGAAATATGTAAATGAAGTACACTTGGTCGTCAACTTATGACCGACTTCCGTTCTGACTGACAGGTTGTAAGTTGATCTGGTCATATGTCAGCCATATATTTATTAACAGTATTTTTTAAACTTTCTAATCTTTTTATCATCTTTATGATTTATTTTTAAAAGCTTTTACATTTTAATCATCTTTTATTTTTCATTTTTTGTGTGGTCGCAAATCGACAACCAAGTGTACTAATTAATGAAACCAAATCTCTGGCAACTGAGCCCTATGGACCAAGACCAAACACCAAGCAGGATCCATCCTGGTCATGACCTAAGTAAAATAAAGCAAAGTACATCCAGAATATCAGCTAGGAGCTCTGGCCATCTTTAAATCAAATTATCTCTGCAGAAAATTTTCAAAACTTATGCAAGAGATGAATGAAATGACAGACTAACCATTAAGGAACTATTTTCCGTTAATATAGTATTATATCCCTTTTAAATAAGACCCAAGTTTACTACTGAAAAACATCTGTTCAAGAATATAACACCTAGTTTTAACATTGGTTCTCACAAAAACATATCTGGTTTACATATTTCACATTAAATGGTGTCTCCCAGGAATGCAACTGCTACATAATTTTATATATATGTGAATAACTGAAGATATGGGCTCCAAGTAAATGGTTAATATCTGCCACTTTATATACAAGTAAAAGGTTACACAGACCAAAAACAATATTTTTGGCAAGGCGAAACTTTGATTCCATTATTATAACTTTTGATTAATTTGTTCTTCCATTACATGTTTTGGAGCAACAGACTTTTCATACAGTATTACCAGAGTCATTTGAGTTTATCATTTATTTGCTCTAGTTGTTATCTCACTGATAAGCAATATTTTATCAAGGTAGAACTCTTGATAGTCAGAATACTCATTTCTATTTTGATCATATTATTCTCTGATGGTGACTACTTAGCACTCCCCAGTAAATAAAATTTTGGTTTTAGCTGTTTTATATGTTTGTTTTATCCAAATCCAGAAAATTTAAAGGCAATTACGTCCTTACAGTTTAGACTACTTTCTATGTCATAGACTGGAGGATAGTTGTTCGGTAAATTTGGGTGGTTGAAGAGACCTGAAACACCACCAGCACTCTGATCTAATGTAAGATATAAAGAAACTGGAAATTTCAGTTCAGTTTATTCCAGCAATTCAAAATACAATAACTGCTCCATTTCCAGACTTATTTGGCACTTAATTCCTACCTATAGGCCATTTTCACCAAGAATTTATTTTTTTATACTCACAAACAAAATCTGGTCAGAATAATTAAAAAACTTAAAATTCAAACAGAATGACTCCTTATCTTCCTACTTCAATGCACTTGTAGTTCATATAACATCCTAGATGTATCAGTAGCCCCAGAAAGCTACCTTGTTCTCCATGACCTTCTTCATGACCATCTGCTACATCATCAGTCTATTTGCTGCCTTAGGTGTGGGAGTCACATAGCTATTCTCCATGTGGTACTGCAAGATGTGGTTGTACATGAGCTCATGAAGCATTCAAGACAGCAAATGTAAAAAAAGATCTTTGTTAATTTTCAGTTCCCAGTGATTTATCAGGCATTTCCTGAAACCAAAAATTTGAAAGTCCTGTTTACATCTTCAAATACACAATGCTTTGTATGTCTGAGAAGTGAAAACAGGAGCTCTTGAAGTGATCTGAAAGCCTGCTTTGAACAACAGAAGTTTCTCATTTAAAGTACAATTCTTTGCAAAATAACTGTATTTTGAATGCTATAAAGAGTATTTGGAAGTGTTTTAAATCTCTGCCTCAGGATGGCTCAAAGTGGTCTCTTTTGAAATATGAATGTTTAGGATTGTGAGCCTGTTCCATCTATATCCCACCCTCATAACCTGCCTCCCCAAGAACCACCTTAATACTTCCTCCTGTATCCTCTTCAGTTTTCCATGTCACCATTTTCTAAGAGGTTGTCGTACTAATATTTTGTATGCACTTGTCATGTATTTCAATACTAGATACATGTCCAGCACACTGAAGCCCCCCATATTTTTACTGGTTGACCTGTACAACTCAGTAAGTTCCTTTTATGTAATAACTAAAACTGCTCAGTCACTTCATCCTCATGAAGTCCAGATATTTTCCTGGGCACTTTGTTTTCAAATATTTGTAATTTATTCATATTGTGGTTTAATGTGTTCTAACACCATGTAGTCTGATAGATGGATACCAACATTTCAGGGGAATATACTGACTTCACCTTCAGGGCAGAAGTCAATACCAGATTACCTTGAGTTATAATCTGGAAGACCACATGATGAATCTTAACCACCACGACAATTACAAATCTCATACTATGCATCTGTAATTTATGCTCTTATCTCAAAGTAAGAGGCAAAGTTTTTTATTTTGTTTTATATTATGAATGCCTTGACTTGTTCCTGTGGAAATAGAATGTTTGTTTTTTGATCTGTGACTCATTCTATATCCAATGGTTGTTTCCCAGCCTATATCTGGATCTATTTTTGAATTTGAAATAAATTGAACTGAATTGAATTGAATACTCATATAAAGGAACTGGAAAAATTGTGTAGTATATCCTGACCTTCAGTATTTTGTCACGTCCTATTTAAAAGTACTATCCCAGCATTTGTGAGAAGAGATTGTGAAAAACTACAAAGCCTCAAGGAGATAATTAGTCTCATGCCAAAAACAAAGCAGGAATCTCCCACATATAACCACTCAGCCATGGCATTTAGTTGGTGAGCATCTTCCATTGACAATTTGTAAATAGAGCCTTGTGATTTTAACAGTTGCAATGTTGTGGACTGGAAAGTTACCATGATTGGGAAGGAAGACTGGAAAATGGAACACAAGGCACAGTATCACCTGATGGAAACATCACTGTGCCCACCTCCTGCTGCCTGCAGTCATGTGAATATATAGCTGGCAATGGCTGCATAAACAGACTATTATATGTTGTGGGTCAGAGTGCAGTCATGCTGGCAAGTACAGCCATTTCCATAGCACTGTTACAGGTATGTTGAAGTAGATTCTAAAGGGATCTGATGATGGTGGATGACACACAGAATTACTTGGCTTTTGGACTTTTTCCATCATCTGGAATTCTAGGTAATAGAGGACACGACGTTTCGGAAACTGGATCTGTTTCCATCTTCAGGTCATGCTAATATGAATGAATGAATGAATGAATGAATAAGGGGTGGGCCTTCTTGGCCCTTGAACCACAACCTACAGTGATCTATTGTGCTTCCCCTTTTGATTATCCCCTCAGCAATCCTGCGCTTCGAATGTATTGACCCAAGTGACGTAATCTTAAATAAGCTAAGACCTCACATTCACACAGGATGTGTGGCTGTTTCGTTTTCTTCTTGGCACCTCTCACAAGTGGGACTATCACTTAGTCCCAGTCTGAAGAGGTGTCCTGTCATGCTAATAACTTTTGCAGTTGAAAAATTTCATTAAATATCCTAAGAATAAATAAAAGAAAGAATGAAAATTTGGTATTAAAGTCAGTTTCCCAATACAGATGACAATGTATGTCAGTGTACTATTAGATATGTTGTCCTGGTAAGTTGGTTTCCTCTTTAAGCAGTTTGTAAATGTAACAAGACAGAGTATGCAGAGTCCAGCAAAACTTCAAACCAGTTTTAGCCTCTGGAGGTGGCACTGACACTATCTAAGCCAAAAATGATAAGACCTGCCAGGCTTCTAAAAACAACCATGCATATATATTTACTGGTGACAGAACCCAAAGAGTCAGTACCACCACTGGACATGATCCTGATCTAGTTCACATTCTTACAACATATTTCTCCAAGTAATATTATCCTACTACCTCTGTCTTTCTAGTGACCAAATGTAAAGGTGTCTTTGGCAAGATTTTACATGCATTTCTTGAGTCTCCAGTGTTAATGCCATATCCACAAATATCCAAAAAGGAATCTGGTACTAAACTCAGGGCCTTCTGCGAAATTCAGAACTGAAGTAATATCTGTCAATAGCATAAAGTTTCTTTCAATGAAGTGAAATTTATCAGACCAAAATTTCAGTATCTGCTCTAGCATTTTTCCACCAAAATATACAAAAATACCCTTTCTGAAACCAAATAAATCCACATTGAATGAGTAAAGATTATTCAGAATATTGTTAGGTTATTGTTATTTTAGGATTTTAATCCCACAGAACTGTCTTAGAAGTCTGGGTTTTGGGTAGATATATTTCTTTCCTAGTTTAATTAATTTCACTTTTTCAACTAGTGCCAAATGGGAAGACACTTATGAACTATTAATTATTCAAGATGTGGAAGGAAGTTATCATTGCCTTTTTTATGCTACTATGGCCGTATTTATCTGGAGGATCTCAGGAAATTATTAGCCAGCATATGCGTCAAGAATAAAACCCAGAACCCTTCAAATATGAAGCAGAGGTGAACTGGGTGATTTAGATATATTTCACTTTATGATCCAAAATAACACAATTCATGATGTTACAGCATAATAATCTGTTACTTCAGAAGTATGGTCTTCTGTGTTGTAACACTAGCCATGTAGTTTGGAGGAAGCCCAATGGTTTGAAGGATCATATGGCTTCTGTCTTCATGGTTGACGAGGAAGCCAAATTCTGCTTGCTGTCTGTTTCTGCCATTTTTTTCTTGGCTTATACTTTGACTCTAAAGGCAGAGGCAGAAACATCAGACTGTCTGAACTACGTGGCTTTCCAACCCCAAAGACTGCACTCTTCATACTCTTTGAGAAACTCAAACCTAATATAATCTGTTAGTAAAGTACGTAAAGCATTTCCTGTAACAGGCCATGGTGGCCCATAGAGTTGTAAGACACTGAGGCTCCCACATTTTCTAGACAATCGGCTCACAGAAGACAATTTATTATGTACTTGGAACAGTTAAAAATCCATTGCCCATTGTAGTGGTTGAGTAGAATCTGGTATAGACATGACAACAGATAGCAAAATTGAATGTAAATATTTTTTTTTTTAAGATTAGTAGATAGTCTTTTAAAGGAGCAGAAGAAGAGTTGAATTTATCACATTTTCAGTTGAACTGAACCAAACAGAAAACAAAGTGAACTAAATTTTTTGTGCAAAACCTTTACACTTTTGCTTACATTGGTGATGAACATGAAGTTAGCAAATATACTTATTGGATCAAGAGAAAATTGGTAGAAAATCTGTCAACAAAATATTCTGTCCTCACATCACTTGTTGAAATTCAAAATATAGCAATCCAGTCGCATGTTATATGAACGTCTCAAGCTGATGATGATTACAGATAATCATTTATATTAATATGGAAAATTGACGTAACAAAGCAATGGCATGAATTATTAAATTGGTGTGATGTAGCTATAGGATAAACAACATAAATATGCAAAAAGAAATAATTGTTGTTGGTAGAAAATAAGGTGATGTTTAACATATGCATACTCCTTCAAGACCAATGCTGTAAAGATAACTGTTAGTAGATGAGTAACGACTGATATATCCCATGTAATCAAGGAGTGGCACTGGCAAAATTCAGGTTTCCCTGCTGACTGATAAGGTAAGCTGATAAGATATTCAGAGGTACAGTTGTGCATAAAGGAGGTGACCCCTCAGTTAGTAATGCAACTGGAGATACAAAGTAGCCACAGAATGGAAAAGTTAATGAAAAATTTTTATGCAAAATAGTCTAGTCTTGAGGCAAGAATATTATATGTGTCTAAAATTTCTGCAAGGAAGAAAAGAAGAAAAAGTCATACCATTCCCTCATGGAATGCTAGAGAAAGGACAGCAAATGATGGGGGCAGAATTTTATAACTGCATGAAATGTATCCAGGGAATGCAAAAAAAAAAGTAAAGAGCAGAATAAAAGTTTCAATCCAAAGAAAAGTCTGGTCATATCAGAATACGCTGAAACTAAATGGCTGCAATAAATTTCCAGTGCACTGATACTCCTTAGAGTATTATGATGGGAAAATAAAAATCCCTTCATTGCACAAACTTCTGTGCGCCATTAAAGGAGGTAGAAAAAAGACAGTGGAGAATTATAAAAGAGGGTTGATTTAGATTTAAGAAGAGTAAGAGCAAAAGACTCTTATGCCTCTGAGACTTAGCCACTGTCAAGATCGGATGAAAGGCTGTTAAGTATATTTGAAAGGAGGATCTTGAGATATATCTTTGGACCAGTAGAAGAAAATGGAATATGGAGGAAGAGGTATAACCATGAGCTATACAAACTATTTAATGAACCAGGTATTATTGGATTTATAAAGGTAAAAAGGCTTGAGTGGGCTGGACACATAATACATGCCAGCGAGAATAGAACCATCAAGAAAATGCTTAACACCAAACCAGAAGGAAATAGGAGAGTGGGAAGACCAAGGTTAAGATGGCAAGAATGTGTGTGGCAGGACATAAGAATTTTGGGTATAAAGAACTGGAGGAATGTAGCATTGAATAGAGAAGAATGGCCAGCAATCCTGAGGAAGGCCAGGGCTCACAAAGGGCTGTCGTGCTAGTGATGATGATGATGATGATGATGATGATGATGATGATGATGATGATGATGATGAAGAGCAAAAGCCATCACAATACATTTGCATATTGAGCAGCATACCTTTGAGCACTGAGAAACAATAACAGAGGGCCTAAAACACCAGTCATGTAAATGGATGAGCAAGAATGTCTCATTCCCAACCTTCCTACTGGATGTACTGTTGTCCTAGGTAACATGTCACATTGTACTGACCAGGAAATAAAGCTCCCACCATTACTTTGTACCTGTCCACCCACACCCAGATTAATCTGATTTTATTGAGTTAATCTAAATTAATTAATTTGTTTTATGATTATCTTTTTATTCCTGTGTTTTGGATAATTCGGGAGATTTGAGTTTATGAAGCGTATTACATTGTACTGTCCCTGGGTATAAGTAACGTAATGTTATGAACATCTGGAAATTTTCCATAGCTCACTGATTCTATATAGGTTCCTTGGCCTTGATGATAATGGAACAATCATCATCTTAGCAGGGGGGCTTCTTTAGGACAGAACTGAAGCCAGAACATGGTATCCACGTGTCTGAGTTTGGTTGACATGCAACTACACAATGTGGGGTCAAATGATCAACAGGATTTTGAATATTTAAGCACATAGCAATATTGCTGTTTAAATATGCCAGTAACAAATGAGGCAGTCATAAGTTGCTTGTGATGTCATCTAAACTTCAGAATTTGAAAGGGGATGCAATGCTCCTATGAAGCTTCAAGAGGGGACTCATATTTCAGTTTTCAGCCAGGATGGACGCAAATTTTTGGAAGCTTTGGTATTTACCAATTTAATTATCTTTCAGCTTCAAATTGTATGAGTATTATTCATCAAAATCAATAAACTTCCAGCGCGTGATGCACACATACAAATTGTTACAACAATACCACTTGTCAAGCAAAGAAATCAAATTTCACGCAGTAGTGTAGTTGGTTGAGGCACTATGCTACAAGCTGGAAGGTCACCAGTTCAAATCCCGATGAGGTCACTGGATTTTTTTCAATTGACCTAATCCTTCCAGCCGCACTATGGCCCTGGGGTCGACTCAGCCTCTAACAGAAATGAGTACCAGGAATATTCCTGGGGATAAAGGGCGGCCAGCATGTAGGGCTGACAACCTTACTGCCATCTCTGAGCCGATTGTCTAGAAAATGTGGGAACCTCAACATCTCACAACCCTATGGGCCTCCATGGCCTGTACCACACAGCATGTACGTGTAACATCTACTTGTCCTTTCTGTGTCACTCTACAGTTATATATGTATATATACACATCACCATAAACAGTAATGAAGGAGAAGAGTCAATTTATTTCTAGAGAAATTAGTACCAAGAATTAGTTAACCAACAATGAATTAATGACTTGCAATAACCTTATTCTGATTTCAGCTACTGGGTGTAATGTTCGCTTGTTCTCTGGGTCGATCTATTAGGCACCAGAAAACGGAACGTGAGCGTCTACGATGGGAGCTGAGAGAAAGTCTACTTAGAAAAGATTCATTTTATGGTGACAGAAAGCATTCATCATCTGCATAATGAAGTAATAAAATGCTAATTCAAGAAGCACATCAAAAACACAACAGCATATACTTTCAGTAATCAGGATATTGCACAACATAGCTTGACTTACAAACAGCACATTAAAGAACCATATCATTACATGATTTCATGAAGTGTGATCATCTTATGGCTTCCCATATGCCATTAGGTTGGCCAGGATTCCACCAACTACTCCTCCTGTCCAGTTGGGTCAAGGAAATACACACTATTAGCAGAACTAACAAGTCTACAGCCTAACAAATTGCAAATAAAACTTATCCAGATTAAAGCAGATGCAGGGATTTCCCTTTGTTATCATATACATGCTCCTGGTACCTCTATAAAAAGTTTACATTCATTCAATGAAGTTCATTATTGAAAACAGAATAAACTTGAAACCCTCATATCCTGTACAAGGTATCTGCAGAATATGCAAACCCCAATCTAAAATAACATCCCTTTTCTAAGAATTTTCTCTTATGTTACCATTTCTCTCCTTTCAGGTACTCACTCAATCCAACATATTCACATACAGATGAACATTAGCATCGTGTTTTATAAATCACTTCCCAATCATGCAACTGTTAAAAGGCTACACAACACAACATACTTTTAAACATATACACAAGTGTGCACACCCAGAACACATATGCATATATGTATATATGTAGTATATACATACTATGCATACACAGACACAGATTTGTGAGGAATACAAAACATTCATCCAAGTTTTCATTGCAGAGGAATACAGGCACCCAAAACAAATCATGACTATCATCCAACAGTGAGAACACTATTTTATAGCACTACACTTTCCAAAGTGTGACCTGTAACACAGGTCACCTGTAATGATTATCTTAGTGATATGTTTCAAGTGTCCATTTCTTAACATGAACAAGATGTTGAATAAAACATGAGAAATCCAAGGATAAGGTGGAGAGGACAACTGTAGTCTGTATACTGAAATATTTGACCACCCATATATTTTGTAAAGTGTTGTGTATAATAACTATACATACAGAGAAACTATTTCAATGGAGTATAAAGTATTTTAAACCTTATCTCCTACTTTAAGAGGCATGATACATGCCCTACCAACCATACTAAAATGACAACAAGATTAAAGTTATTTGGATGTTCAACCAGTGTTGGGCAACCTGTGTTCTAAGAGCCCTCATAAAGTGCAACATAGTCTAATTTCTTGAACAAAAACTAAAAATATTACTTTTCACAACTGTCACATTATTGAGAATCTGGTGGCAAAGGAGTGCTGCCACTTAGTGTTTTATATTGATACAACTGCATTTTGTCAACTTCAAACTCAGTGTAAGAATGTAATCATTAAAATATGAATGTTATTATCACTGAGTTAAACAATTTCCTTATTACAGTGTTGTTTTGTTTCCAGTTTGCCACAGTGAAAATAATGTAGATTTGTAGGTCCTGCCCACATGCAGTAACAGTAGCTTCAATGAATGAGCTATCCCATCCTTTCCCAGGGAATGACACCCAGTCCAGCCAGGTTCCAGGAGGACATGCCACTGTATACAGATTATTACAGGTGCCTGAACAGTAAACTGGAATGGGTGTCAGCTTTCTCTTCCAGTCTGAGTACACCTTCCTACTTTCATTACAAACAAGTTTGGCATCACTGATGATTTTGGTGCTAGTTTTGCATGCACTGATTCATACTAATCCTCATTTTATTCCTACTTTATTTCATGATGCTGTTAGGATCTCAGACTCTACTGAGCTGAAGAGTTGATGATTAGTGAATAATGAATTGGAAACATTCATGGCCTAATTTATGGTACTATCCCAGCAGGAACACCATGTGAAAACTGATGATAGTCAGTGTTCCAACCAACATTTGAATTGGGCACCTCCTAAATATAAAGTAGAATCATTTCCTTTTGGAAGGAAGTCCGTGCATGGTATGTCTTCAGGTTTGTAAAGGAGGATAAGTGCCAATCTACTTAATAAGCAGCTGCCAACAATCAGTAAGGAATTTTCCTCCAATTCTGGGGGACAACAGCTTAATGTATAAGAACAAGCATGTTACAAATTGTTACATGGTTCCCTGAATTTCACTTAGGATAAAGAAAAGTGACAGGCTCTTGTTAACACAATAATGAACCTTCATGGAGTGAAGTTATCCATTCATTACATGTCTTGTAATCAAATCAATGCACAGAAAGACTTAATATGTCCAACAGTGATATTATGCAGCTCTACAAGAATTTTTATGGCAAGAATTTCAATATCAGCTCTGTTATACTGAGTCTGTGGACCTCGGTAACTGAACATATTTGGAGGAAATGTTATTTATGCTGAGTTGTTGAACTATCCCCTCCCATACATGACAGCAATTACATCAACCATCGAATATGATACTGTTTAGAAACAGAAGGGAACAATGACCTTAATTTGCATGCAGAAGACAACATTCCGCTTACAGCTCTGTACTCTATTCTGCACACACCTTAAATTTATATTACCTCTCCATGTACAGACTGTGAGGCTACAAGTTTACTGCACAGTTGGCTGACTGTTTCATGTTTAAATGATCATGTAAGTGTCCAACTGCTAGACAGAATCAGAGAATAGAATACAATAATATTTCATCATAAAAATTGCACATAAGCTCTTGTTACATGAACTAAGAATTTGAAATTGAAATACCAAATGTTCAAGTCCTTGGTTCAAATCTCTGCCCAGAGACTGAGGATGTTTTCAGTTCAGGCAAATGTGGGAATATTATCTTAAATTAGCCTACATCCACTTTCTTTGAAAGCTATGCTGGGGATCCTTGACTGGACTCAAGCAAGCAAAGGGACTCACATGAGGACCCTCTGCTTAAAGAGCGAAGGAACTGTTGAAGTTAAATAGGAACCAGCTACGATGGGTGGTGGGACTACTTACAGGACACTGTCACCTTAAAGGACACCTCTTCAAACTGGGACTAAGTAACAGTCCCACTTATGAGAGGTGTCAAGAAGAAAATGAAACAGCCACACATATCCTGTGTGAATGTTAGGCCTTAGCTTATTTAAGATTATGTCACTTGGGTCAATACTTTATGGAATCAAGTGATTATTTTGATGCCCCCAAATACAAAATCCTGCACTTCGAATCTGAGGGGGTAATCAAAAGGGGAAGCACAATAGATCACTGTAGGTCACAGTGCAAGGGCTGAGAAGGCCCACCCCTTATACGTTCATTCATTCTTTCAAAGCTGATCCAGTTCATCAGTCATCTAACATCCTAATGTTTGAAGCTATAAAATGTATGTTCTAGCTACTGGCAGCATTGTTAAATTGTGTACAAAAGCCTTCATTTGAAAAACTTTCTGCATAGCAAAACTTTAATGAAAATACAGCAAAAAGTTATTCTGTAAACATATCATGTATCTGTGATGTGATCAGCTTTGAAAAAATACAGACCAAGGCCAAGGAAATACAAAAATTACTTTTAGAAAGTTACCTACATGGATCTACCCCAATTTTGAGTATAATTCTCCATTCTTGTTTTATTTCTAATTTATTAATGATGCTACAGAGAATAAATATGAAATTGAACTAATATTGAGATCAAAGTCTCTTGGGATATGATGCCATAGGTACCTATGATTTGGAGGGGCCTACTGCATGCTGCATAGAAAACATCTTCTATCCTGAAGATTAAGGCAGCACATGCTTCAAAATGTTGGTACACAGCTATCCAGCTGGAAATCACACCATGTAGTCTGGCAGGTTATTAAAATTATTTTGAAGTATACTGCCTTCATCATCAGTGACCCTGAAGATGAAAGCGGCATGTCTGTCCCGTAAAACGGTTCATAACTTGGACGAGAAATTCTCTCAAGGACGTTTGAAAGTCACAGATGATGCCAAACCTGGTTGCTCTGTTGAGATTGCAACAGAAGCAACTGTGCAGTGGGTGGAAAAGTTGATTTGAGCTGACAGAGGAATAACAGTAGTGTAGCAGTGAAAATGTGAATTCTGCATTGTACTGTGAAATTCTGTTGAAGCTATTGGATGCAATTCACAGAAAATGTCCAGGCAAATGGGGTACTGCTTCATCATGACAATGCCAGACCCCATACAATCCAAGCAACCCAGGAGAAAATTCAAGAACTACAGTGGGAACTGAACATCTGCCTTAGAGCCCAGAGTTGGTGCCTAGTAACTTCCATCTGTTTGGTTCGCTACAAAAATATCTTGGTGGAAAAGGTTTTGCTGATGACAAAGAGGTTGAAACGGAGATGTGAAAGTGGATGAGACAACACTCAAAAGACTTTCATGCTGCAGGTTTCAAAACACTGGTAAAGTGATGGGACAAGTGTATCAATGTTGGTGGAGGGTATGTCAAGCAACAAATGTTCTTTCCAGGTTCCTATATCACATGGTTTACATTCCATATCCACTTGTGGCATATGTACTGTCTCTCCCTCTTATCTTTCTGTAATTTTTATCATACATAGACCCTATTTGACCTAGCCACTCCCTACAGTGCAATTTATGTAAGCCTGTATATCAAAGTTATAGGTAGGTTGACTACATCTTTGCCTTGATTTATATAACTCGGTTCATGAAGACAGCTTTCCAAAGCTAGAATTATTATTCTCTATGGTGCATATGAGTATATAAATGTAGGACATGTAGCTCTCTCTGAGGTGAATGTTCAGATTAGTGTTCTGGAAACCTTGTAATTTGGTGGTCAGGGTTCAACAAATAAATATAAAAGGTAAAAATTGTCAATTATTTTGGAATTATAAAGACTATGTAAACGAAAACATAAGGAATCCTTGCAAAGGTGAATACCTTTACAATAAATGTGATCTTCAAGCAGCCTGTGTATGAAATTTTCAAAATGCCTCTGGAAAGGACAAACTGGATAAGTAAATCATCACATGATGGACAGCCGAAGATGTGGACATCTGTGAGAAGCCCATGGTATCACTTTAAATATAAATATTATGTCACCTTACTGATGTATTTAATTTGTGCTCTTGAAAAAATGAATTTTGTGTTTATATTTCATATGTTTAAGTAACATTATCTGAGGCTCTGTATTTTCTTCACACAGCTTCCTGCTCGTGCATGTGATTACAGAAAGAACATCTGGGTGTTGGCCTACTATCAGGAAATACTATGGTAGATTTAGCTTGGTAAATCAGCATCTGGACAAATTTTCCATATTCTTATGTCTCCTGCCCTTAATTTTGTAACATCCACTTTCAGACATTGTCTTTATTACTTAGTCTCGAAAGTGGATAAAGAGAGGTTGTATAACAAAATTAAAGTACAGTAACATGTTTCTGGAAAGTATACTTTAATTTAAATGAACAAGAACTTATCATTATCCAATGAATATAATTTTCTTATTATGTTTTAAAGAAGAAAATTTTAGATGTATGTATACATGTCCTGGAAACAAAATAACCTGTTGTTTAGTTCTTTTGTCTTGCAAAGGGAAAATTTGACTCACTCAGTGTTTATGTTTTATAATTCTCTTGATAATGTGTTCGGTTGGCATTAATATCACAGAAATGTTGATTCTGTGCAGACTCTCTTCAAAATGTATACAAGGCACTTAAAATAACTGCACAAAACTACTGATCTGGAAAAATATTTTACTCAGAACTTAAAATACTCTTAGAAGGGAGAATGTTTCAGTTCCATTTAGATATCTGTCATTGCAAAAGAATATCAATGTTTTCGTTAATTTAGAAAGAACTGTCTTGAAAGGTGAACAAAACTTGGGAAAAGAGTAAGTTGTTCAGACGTTTACTGCTTTTCCTACCCATACCACAGCACTGTAGGGTACACATACAGCATTACAGCCTAAAAATAACCAATTAACAATTACAAAAATAGATATGGTGTCAATTTTTGAGGTTATGTCCAATAAATATAAAATACACATTAATGTTCACTTATAAATTATAGACTAAAAACATATATATATACGGTACTAACAACAGATGATTAAAAGATATGGCAATCTAATAGCTCTGGTCAAATCAGAGCAATGTACAACATTACGATAATATACAAAACATTTATATTTAACGAAATAATCAGCCCTACCAACTTGTAGGTTTGAGAATACAGTCAACATGACGAAAATAAAGTTCGCTAATAACACCAAGACCTGTAACACATCGAGGTCAAGATTAAAGTATGAAGAACACACTTATTAAAATGCATACGTTTAATTCCACAAGCAAAATAAGTCATATTTGCTCCAGCCGTTGAGGACAAGGTGCCTCCGCGTTGCAACAGTATGTAAGGTTCTTTTCATTTTGGGAAGATGGGAAGAGAGTTTTGTTTGGTATGATATTATTATTTGTTTGGAGTTGCTGTCGTATTTAGTGTTGTATGGCCAGATAATGGGGTTATATTGCGATGCGGGTTATCTCGTAATGTTACATGAGTTTGGCCATTTTCAAGGTCTGTGGTAATTAGACGACTCCATGTGGATACTTTATGTATATTTTTCTTTTATAGGATTTCAGTCTGGACTACTCAAGATGGTCGGGGGGGACATAGATTCATATGCATATTTGAGGTATTACTGCAATGGATTAAACCAGAGACAAAGACAGTGATCACACCCCTAACTGTAGGGTAAGAGCAGAGGAGCTTTTTAATGGTATAGCGACGGGCAACAGGCTGGACAACCCATACTCGGTTCCCAGCAGTGGAAGATTTTTCTCTTCTTCACAGCGTCCAGACCAGCTCTGTGATCCACCGACCCTCCTATCCAGGGGAGGGCTTTCTCCCTGGGTGTAAAACAGCAGGGGCATGTAACTGACCACTCACCTCTGTCCAGTGCTGAGGTCAAGAATGATGGAGCTATACCTCCATTCCCTCTTATGTCTTCATGGCATAATACTTAATTAATTAAACACAGGGACAACTTTACCTTTTACAGATCAGTGGTTTACTCCCAAGCAAAAGACAGAATGTCCTCTGAAGAATCACCAGTTGAAATGGTGCGGAGATACAACAGGGAAATTGGATATCAAGGGAGACGAGAGCACAGACAGATACAAGTAAACAGTAGGCGCAGTGCCCTTGGTGAAGTAATGGATACCCAGAGCAGAGTCATTTCAGCTCTAGAAGTAAAGACACTGGCAGAGCGATTGAAGCACAAGGGCCATTTCACAGTTCAAGATTTTGTGCTGCTTAAGCATGCTGTCATACAGAACGAGGAAAATATAATTGCTTTTTTCAGAGTGCCAGGGGCCCTACATGCTCTTGTCCGGGAGCTGACAGGTATATTACTTCAGTTTTAGTTTGTTAGTGGTAATTCCTGTTATACGTGTATAATTTGTTGGTCCTCAACCTTTTATCATTCGTGGTCAATACACTAGCAATGGAGTTTCTGAGAACAGGCATTCTATTTGTCTCATATTTTTTTAAGTTGGTTATTTAACAATGCTGTCAGCATTGACACTATGTAGCATCAACTGCCTCATGTTGTATAGTACTGATAGTAGTCTAAAAATGTAACTGAACATATCTAAATATATTTATTTGCAATACTGATATTATCACCTTCTTGTGGCATTAAAACTAAAGAGACATCATAATCACACATTGAACATTTGCAATTAAAAATTGTGCATGGAGTCACATGATATTAATGAGATGGTGTACAATGGAAAGGAAAAAAAAATAAAGGTCATGGAGCCCCATAGGGTTGTCAGATGTTGAGGTTCCCACATTTTCTAGACAATCAACTTATAGATGGTGGCAAGGTTGTCAGCCCTACACACTGGCCGCCCTATACCCCAAGAATATTCCTGGCACTCATTTCTGTTAGAGCCTGAGTCGACCCCAGGGCTGTAGTGCGGCTGGAAGGATTAGGTAAATTGAAAAAAATCAAATGACCTCATCGGGATTCGATCCCGCGACCTTCCTGTTTGTAGCATAGTGCCTCAACCAACTACGCAAGGAAAGTAAATGTAATTGACTTAACTGGTTCAATTCTGTACAAGAAAGAAATAAGGAATAAAAAACACCACTAGTTATAAAATAGTTTATTTTACAACTGTAGTATAATATATATACACACACACACACACACCAGTATGAGGGAGAATCGGTAAATATGTCAACAAATATATAAAATGTGAAACACATGAGTTTTTGAAGAAAGCAGTCTTCTGGGATTTGGCACCATGTATATGTGGTGTTAACCGACGTTTCGGAGGAACGTATCGCCTCCATCTTCAGGGTAGAAGAAAAAATATAATATAAGAATCTGCAAGCGAAGAGACCGTGAGAACCAGTAAGCAGTCTGTGATACATTCCTCCGAAACGTCGGTTAACACCACATATACATGGTGCCAAATCCCAGAAGACTGCTTTCTTCATAGTCACCGCCGTGAAAGCCTCAAATCTTACACATTAGTTTTTAATCTGAAAAAATATTTATTTCTCAACATATCCTCCATCAACATTGCATCGAAACCCACAGCATAGAGGTCTTTTGACTGTTATGTCAACCACTTCTGCACCTCAATTTCAACCTCTTCATCATCAGTGAAATGTTTGCCACTAAGGTGGTTTCTAGCAGATCAAACACATGAAAGTCACTAGGGACCAAATCTGGGCTTTAAGATGGATGTTGAAGAAGTTATATTTCAGCATTTATTTAAGTTCAAGAAGTTTCCACTACAGTTCTTGAATTCTTTCCTGGGTTGCTCATGTCGTATGGAGTGTGGCATTGTCATGATGAAGCAGTACTCCTCTTGGCAGTTGCCCTGACGTTTTGTGCGAATTGCATCCTGAAGCATCAACAGAACTTCACAGTATGATGTAGAATTCACATTTTCACCACACCTCTGAAAATGGGCTAACAGTACTCCCTGAGAATCCCAAAACACGGTAAGCATAACCATCCCAGCTGATGGCTTAACCTTAAACTTTTTTGGTTGAAGGTGAACTGGGATATTTCCATTGCATTGAAGCACACTTTGATTCGGGCTGGTAGTGATGCGCCCATGATTCATCACCAGTAACAATCCTGTTAAGTGTATCTTCTACTTCATTTGCATATCGTAAGAGATGTTGCAAGGACAGACCTATTTGGTTTATTTTTTCTCAGACCTTCAGTTCTCTAGGCACACTTTCCAAAACTTCAAATGATCATACATTATGCTGTATGCTAAACCATGGGAACACACTAGTGCAGTTGCTGCACTGTCTATCATTATGCTCCTGTGAGCTTGAATCAACTGTTCCACCACTGCACAGTTGCTTCTGTCACCATCTCAACAGGGTGACCTGGGCAGGCATCATCTATGACTTTTGAACATCCTTGAGAGAATTTTTCAATCAAATTGTGAGCTGCTTTATGCAACAAAAGCTTCCCATTGTAAACAGGAAATATTTCTTTATGAATATCCTTTGCATTGAGTTCTTTTGCCCACAAAAAAAAAAAAAACACTCACGAGAACACTGCTCTGTGGTAGTATACTCGAGTGCAGTTGCCATTTCGAATACTGAAACCAGCCTTTGAAGATGCACATGCGCACCTGCTACCTAGTGAGACACATAAAAAACCCTATTACATCCATTAGAGCTATTTTACTTCAATTTATGACCTATTTACTGACTCCCTCATACATATAAAGCACTGACCAGAATGTTTGAACCAGCAGTTGTCCACTGATGTTTGGTTGAGGAACTTTAGGTCATATCCTTAGAACATATTTCTACCAAAAGATTTTTTTTTTATATTTCTGTTCTGTTAATCTCTTAGTCTCTGGAATTGTCTTTTGTCTTTCCCAACTGTCTTATAACATTTGACAATATAAAAGCTTTGAAGTTAAGTAAACTATGAACAAACCATCTGAAAGATAGTATTCTTGTTATGGGAGGCAGAGACAGGATGAAGTCAACTCATTGTATCTTTTCAGGACAGAATGCTTCACTTCAGTTGGGCGCTGCCAACTGCTGTTGCAATTTGGCTCTTGGCAGTGAGAAAGCTTGCCTACAGTTGACAAAAGCTGCTGCTCCATATCTTATATCACACTTGGACGGACTGAACAATCATTTGTTGGTACAATATTTACATTACTACATTATTATTTACTTAAAGTGTGATATAATTTTTAAATGAGAAATTTAGCATGAAGGAATATTGTTTATGAGTGTAAGGCATAAATTTGGTATTTGTAACTTGTTTTTTACCTCATAAAAATCTGGAATTGCAGTGTTAGATTTATTCTATTCAGAGGCAGGGTTGCGAAACTGTCAAGCATGTTAATGTAAGTAATTTTGCAGAACTGTTTACGAGGTACCTGGTTTGAATTCAAGTCAATTTATTGGCCATCCTGAATGAGATTACTCATTGTTTTTCTAATTTCTTCAGGCAAATACCATGCAAGTAACTTGAAACAGGCCATGATCACTTCCAGTCCATGTTGTTATGTCACCATTGATTAGCAACATTCTGTATCATATGACACAGTTGAATCCCCTCAGTTAAAATGTGTCATTGAATAACTGAAGAATTAAATAATTACAAATTGAATTGAATTGAATTGAACACAAGTTGAGTTAAATTGAGACAAACTATTTCTTTTGTAAGGAGCCTTCTACTTTCTCACTGGACATTCAGTGACTGAGGCTAGCTCTTTCTAAGGGGCCCAACAGAATAGGTGTTTTCCCTCACCTGAGGACGGAAACAGATCAAGTTTCCTAAACGTTATGTTTTTCTTAGTTATCGTAAAACCAGGATGATGGATAAAGTCCGAAAACCCAATATCTCTGTGATCTATCAGGTTGTATTGTACATTCATTTGTTATATCACTTGGGTATGTTTCATATTTGATACACCTGCTTGTCAGTTTTAATTTTCCTAAAAGTTGAGAGTGAAAATGAACCATAGAATGATCTCCCAGAAATTCTGCATTACATTTATTTTTAATTATTCACTCAAACTCACAGAATATGTATAAAATAATATGTTCATTTAGCTCATTTGCTGCTTTACTGTGATGTTAATATAGATTAGATCTTGCCATTCACTAGTTGGACATATTAAGGCATCATGGACTTAGTTCCATCATTCTGACTCAAGGTCAAGGTGGAAGCTGCAAAATAACTGGCGGTTTACCACCAATTAGTTAATCTTGGTGCCAAGTCCCTTGAGGATCATGACCAGAGATCTTTTTTTTTAACTGAATCCTTACAGCAATAGTCTTTTAACGTTTTCTTTGATGAGATGATGGGTTTGTCTCTTATGAATGGCCTTCACCTTTGTCAACCACTAAAAAAAATGTAACAGTATGGATTTATTAATTCTTTTGATAGAAAGATGAATCTTTTTGTTCCATAAAAACAGAAAATTTCTTCATGCTTACTGGGTTTTTGGACTTTGTCCATCATCTGATATTCTAAAGAACACAATGTTTCAGAAACTGAACAGTTTTTGTCCTCAGGTGAAGGAATGGGAGGTGCATATTCTGTTTGTTCAATTAGAAACAGCTAATCTCAATCACTGGACAACCTATGTCCGTAGAACTACAGCCATATATACACCTGAGAGCAGGACAAATCCTATCCAAATCCAGTTATTGAGGTTACCTCTTTCCAGAGAACCCAACAGAGTAGGTAACTCCCACCCCTTCATCTGAGGACGGAAACAGATCAAGTTTCTGAATCGTTGCATTCTTTGGTGCTCTTTGGTATATCAGATGATGGACAAAGTCCAAAAGCCCAATAATTCCAAGTCTTACACACCACTGTCACAACCCTTTAGAATTAGGGATTTTCTTGCTTGGCTGATAAACTCTTAAAGAAAGGTTCTGTACCTTGTACTTAGTTCAGTTGATGAATTTATGTAATCATGGGAAGTTCCTGTTTAATAGTGGTGCAGTAGTCATGAATATGTATACTTTTCTTTCTGTAGGAAATTTGTGTCTTGACTTTGGGCAACTTGGCAGGAAGTCATAAGTCTTGGGCAGTCTTACAAGCACAAGGTCTGTTGCCTAAACTGTTACATTTGATAACATCTTCAAGCAATAATGTTGTATGTGCTACTCTTTATGCACTTACTCACTATGTCAAGATAGGACTACAAACAAGCAGTGTAAAGTGAGTATGCATGTAACTTACACAGTTTAATAATTTAATCTTTCCCTTAGAGTTTTCTGTGGTTTTTCTTAGGATGCACTGAAAGGCATGGCTTCTTCCTCATATCCCTGTCCTGTGGTAGTACACTAAACCAGTGGTTCTCAACCTTTTGGTGCTGCTGGTACACTTGGGATATTAATGTCTTCTTGCAGTGTAAGAGAATTAAATTCTTAGTAAAAAATATGCCTGTTTTTAAACAGGAAGGTGATGAAGTTTGGTTACAAATACAATTTAAGAAGTTTAAGCCTAAGTATATTGTATGTAATTATTCTTTTCCCCATATCCTTACAACACATCAGCTAAGAACCAATATATCATGCCACACAGAATCACATATTAGTGTAAAATTGTTGTTTGTATGCGTATGTATTGGAATAAATTATGAATTCCTTTCAATCTTTATTATTCATTATATGTTCCACTTTTTCATGTACATAGTGTCTACTAATAAGGAAGTGTTATCATGGTGAAAAAGAGTTGATATTAAGATTTTTGAGAAGTTTACATCTTTTGAGCCCCCTGAATATGAAAAAGTTGTTTTTGGTATGGTATGGTGCATGTGTGTGTGTACGTGCGTGCATGTATGTGACTAAACAAATGAATTTTATTCATATTTAGAATCATGCTCCCAATTTGTTATTCCCAGTTAAGCCATCATTTTATACTATAACGAGACATATTTTAGCATCCTGTTGCACTGATTTTCATCCATGATATGTTTACAGTTGTATACAGTTGTAACACTCGCAGCTAAGAAGGGAACACACATCACAAGATGCGGTTTACACAGAAAATAAGAAAGACGACCCCATAGTGAATGAACCAGTTGCAAGTTTTAATTAAGACAAATAAGATGAATTATCTTAACAAGTTTTAGCGAGTGTAAATTTATCATAGTTGACAAATACGGACTTTTTAAATACTTTTTAAATGGTGTTGTGAAAACATATGAGGGCATGCAATGCAATAGATTGACGTAATTGGGACACCTGATGATGGCACTATGTTGCCGAAACACGTTGTGAAGTGACATGTGAAATTGAGTGCACTACAAGACGGCCACTGTATACATATCATGGATATACTGTATTAGCAGTAATATTATAGACTGTATTTGGTGGGTACCTAGTTCAAATAAAAGATGGTTACCACAAGCCTGATGGTTTCCCTTAGGCTATGCAGGTAAATGGTGGAGCAGTACCTTGAATTTGGCCATTACATGCTCTTTTTAAATCTATATATCATCTTTCTGTCTTGTTTGATATTTGCTGTATACCCTCACCAGGTGAAACAGAATCATAAACTAATCTGATAATATTCACCATCTATGTCCTGTGGTTGAAGAAGCAATATAAAATACTACAAGAACAGACAACATTTATAAATGTGAATTATCCTGCTTGTTACAGCTTGACATTTCTAAGGAGCATTGCAATGAATGTGCATCCCATAATGGAAAGAGAACAGTCAGCTTGTTGGGTGATTTATCTTCTTTCTTGCTGTCCTGAATGTGATGATGTATTGTTGAGCAACTTGGTTGTAAGTCGAGCACTTCATCTTTTGGGAAAGTGTAAAATTGGCCTGGATAGTGACATGAATGTCTCAAAGACTACAGCTCTTGTGAGAATGCTGGGTAACTTAAGTGTCAATAGGAACACTGCAGAACTGCTGCTTACAGAATCTTCAGTTGTGTCAGTTTTACGAATCCTACTGACATCTCCATATTTGCATATACAACATGAGACAGTGTGGCTTATTGCAAATTTATTGAATCATCCCTCAGTTGAAATTAAACACTTGGCTAAAACCAGCACTTTCGAAGACAGTCTAGAACCTTTGTTGAGTGATGCAATATCTAAACTTCTATAATTATCTAAAAAGGTAAAGCTAGCCCTGTAACAGGCAATGAAGGCCCATAGCGTTGTGAGACATCGAGACTCCCACATTTTCTCTAGACAGTCAGCTCACAGATGATGGTAAGTTTGTCAGCTTTATGGACCGGCTGCTCTTTACCCCTGCAGGAAGATTCCTGGTACTCATTTCTGTTAGAGGCTGGGTCAGTCCCAGAGCCATAGTGTGGCTGGAAGGATCAAGTAAATTAGAAAAAAAAATCACCTCATCAGGACTAAAACCAATGACCTTCCGGTTTGTAGCATAATGCCTCAACCAAATACACTATCATGTGCCCCCTCTTATAATTATATACAAAATGTTAATTGAGGCTTAAATCTATGTTTTTTAAATTGGTTTCAAAGACTAAGAAATTGTTAAAAGTTGTACAATAAATATGAGATGTATCGGGAAGTTCCTGGACTAGGTCAAAAAATAAACGCTAGTTTGTCTTACTCAATTTTGGTGCCATCTTCTTCAAAATAGCCTCCCTGTGAACGTATACAGTGATCCCATAATTTTCTTCCTCACATCAAAAGCACCGTGGAAGTCATATTCTTTGATGCTGTTGAGTACCACTTTCAATTCCCCTTGGATGTCAGACACTGTTTAAAAATGTCATCCATTCAGTATCAGTTTCGATTTTGGAAACAAAGCAAAATCACAGGGCACTATATCCTGTGAGTAGGGAGGATGGAACATGATAACCATGTTGTTGTTAGTCACAAACTCTGTGGTTTTCAGAGATGCATGGGTGGGTGCATAGTTGTGATGAAGGAGCCAGTTGTGGTTGCACCAAAGTTCCAGTGTTTTTCATTGCACATTTCCTCTCAGGCATCTCAAATCATCACAGTAAGAGTCAAGAGTTGACCATAGTGGTAGGAGGAACAAATTCACATTGAACAATCCCCTTCACATAAAAAAACAATGAGCATGCTCTTTGTTGAACTCCAAACCTGCCATGCCTCTTTTACTCGTGGTGATTGTGGGCTCTTCCACTGTGACAATTGTTGCTTTGTTTCTGGATCATAACCATAAATCCAACTTTCGTCACCCATTATGATCCTAGAGATAAAAGTTGGGTCCTTGTTAGCCTTCTCTCATAGCTCAAAAGACATGTTTATGTGCTGCTGCTTTTGATCATTTGTCAAGAGTCAAGAAACAAGCTTTGCAGCAATGCAGCATATGTTGAAATTTTATGTTAAGATATCCTGGCTACTTCGTAAACGATTCCAACAGTGTCTGCGAGTTCATGAATTGTTTGGCGATGATCTTCATAGATGAGTTCTCGATTTTTTTCAACATTTTCTGTCGTTTTGATGGTGTTTGGTCACCCTGAACATTCGCCATCTTCAACTGACACTCTACCAGCCTTGAAACATGAATGCTATTCAAAAATCACTATCTGGCTTAAAGCATGTTCTCCAAAAGCCTCACAAACTATTTCAAGGGTTTCGGTAGCAGATTTACTGAGCTTCATGCAAAACTTTATGCAGACACATTGCTCAATTTTTGCCATCCCTCACAGATAAAATGAAACATGAAGTCGAAAAAGCACTTGGGTAAAAACAATGTGTGTTCATGGCGCAGTGTCACATGGCAGACTGATGCAGTAGGCTTGTGGAAGTGTGACCTTGACCTCCCCTCTCATCTTCTTTCACCGAGGCAGTTACACAATAACAGTCTGGGAAGTGTCTGATTGTTCATTAATGTGGCGTGTAGACCTGTTGCTAGGCAGTGACCATGAAATAAGCCACTATACAGCAGCCATTGCTGAGTAAAGGCTCCACAGATAAGCACGTTTCCATGGCAACAAGAGAATACAGCAATAATGGAAGAGATGTTTTCTTTCATTTCATTTCATTTATTCACCTTCCATAAATCCTGTTGAGAATACATTCTCATGCAAATGTGGAGATCGTCCTAGTTACAGTCACAACTAAGAATTACAGTTGTCATCAAATAGCATACACATTTATAATAAAATACTGATAAACATATACAATATAATAAATAAGTTATTTTTAGTAGTAAAAGTAATGGCAAACCTTATACAATTTGTACACTTTTATACAAGTCTATTAATTAAAAACTCAATAGTTAAAATGCAATGTCATTAATGAGTTTTGTATAACAAACATTAATAGTATAATAAATTGAAATAAAGACTATGCAGTGCATGTCCAGATGTTATAAGCAGGACCAGTCAGCAGTTGCAGTTATTTTGAGAACTACTGGGTTCAGTCGTGGTGAGCTGTTGGTGTTAGGAGCTTGTAGCTGAGGCTCGGGACAGTTCAGAAACCCAGAGGAAGGGAAATGTCCACCGTTGGATGCACTACCAAGCAACAGCAGGGAAGATGTGACTGTGGACACTAATGTGTGTGTAATAGTGAACTGTAAAGTGTAGTCGTGCGATGTATCAAAGTTTGCAATAAATTGAGTCATCAGTTCAAAACCCATGTATAGTCACACCATCACGTGACATTATATTTCAGTGAGAGAAATGAGCAACAGAAAAGTTAAGCAGCTACTTAGTACACCTAGATGTAGATGAGAGAACAATATTAAATTGGATCTTAGAAAAGTGGGGTGGAAGCTGTGGACTAGATTCACCTTTGTTAGATTTGAGGCTTTCACGGCGGTGACTATGAAGAAAGCAGTCTTCTGGGATTTGGCACCGTGTATATGTGGTGTTAACCGATGTTTTGGAGGAACCATGAGAACCGGTTCTCACGGTCTCTTTGCTTGCGGATTTCTTATATTTTTCCTTCTACCCTGAAGATGGAGGCGATACGTTCCTCTGAAACGTTGGTTAACACCACATACATGGTGCCGAATCCCAGAAGACTGCTTTCTTCATAGATTCACCTAGATTAGGTAGGTTCCAGTGAGAAGCTATTATGGGCATGGTGATGAATCTTTAGATTCCACAAGAGCACAGAATTTCTTGGAAACAAGATGAAGTATAAAATTTTCAAACCTTGAACCATGAAGTTAGTTGTATATTACCTCAAAAGAAATATAAAATTTCTTGCCTTACACTTTTTGCCACTAAGTGACATGTCCAAGTTACTACATTTTCAGTCTGGTCAGGTTTTGTATGTCAGTATTTCTTCCATCAGCAGTATAGTGGTTATTCAGTAATTCAGTCATCGGAGTTTCATGAGCCTGAATGTATCACATTGAATTTTATTACGTATATAGGTATCAGGTTTCACTCCTTCAAGCATAAAAAAAAAGAAATGATCAAAGAATTACAAATGTCACAAATAATACACCATTTTATGCAACACTATAGAAGAGATTGTAAAATTTGAACTTTGATAGTATCCCAGTACTTAGAGAGGGGGAAAAAAACGGTTCTTTTGGCTAAGTTCAGAACAGTTCTTCATGAAATCTGTGAAATGGATATAAACACAAATGCCATTGTATATGACAAGTAGAAAACTTGGTTCACAGTAATTTAACAGTTGTAAGACCTGAAGCTTTCACAGCAGCTGAATTTCATAATATCTACTCAGGCTATTAGCATTGTCAGTTGGTTAATAATTAATTAATTGAATGATCAACAATTGTAAACAACAGACCCGTCCTCTCATCAGAGAGGGCACTCCACATCAACATAATTATTACAACTGTCTGACAATAACAAAAATCTGGTCTTGGGCCGCAGATGGGCTTCACACGAAGACTGGCTGACCGTCCATCATAACATAACTTTGACCTTGACTTTGACAAGCGCATTCGGATGAGTTGCAGGACTCCCCAAGTCATGAGACAGTAAAATATGGTTATGTTTCTTGCAGGATTCAGAACCAAGAATGACTGTGCTGGCTAGGACCAGCAACAATTTACCCAGCTGACCAACCAAGCAAGTTCCATGACTTCCAAAGTAATGAGACAGTAAAATATGGTCAATAGTCCTGGCTAGGACCAGCAGCAATTGTAAATAACAGACATGTCCTCTTGTCAGAGAAGGTACCCCACATCAACAAAACTGCAACCTAGTCTTGGGCCCCAGGTGGGGCTTGACACCACAACAGACTGATCAATTGACCATCCACTGTAACATAACTTTGACCTCAACTTTGACTTTGCCAAGGAAGCTCAGATGAGTTTTATGACTCCCAGATTCATGAGACAGTAAGATATGGTCATGAGTCCTGTGGAGCCCAGAACCAAGAATGACTGCACTGGTGAGGGCCAGCAACAATTTACCAGACAGGCAAACAAGTCAGTCTTAAGGTGCATTGTTAGCAACTGCTACCTACCAACAAATAGTGATGACACATTAACAAACAGAAGACTTTATGTGTGTTGTGGTTGTAATGATTGATAGAGTATGTACATCATAGACACATATTAGATAAACTGACGAGCTTTTCTAAATCTCTTTGTCACACAACCATTTTCATCACAGACAGGTGGAATATCTTCCACACAAGGGACTTTTATTATATTGAAGTAAACATTTCCCATAACTCTAGCTAGAGGAGTGTTCTTAGCTTTCAGGCAGTGGAAGAGCCTGTTGTCACAGGCACAGTGTGATCTGTAAAAGAGGAAGAAAATTTGTTTGAAGTTGCTTTAAAATATCACTCTCACTCCCACAGTAGTTTCATTTAAACCACATATTTTGTACACTCTTACCAGTTTAGTTTTATTATGTCCACACTTTTTCTGATCCTACTGTTATCTTAACCACTCATTTATTTTTATTGTAAACATATCCATATGAAATTATTTCAAAGATTTCAGGATCTGAAAGATGATTTTAAAATTGCATATCGCAATGCTACAACTACTGTCAAATAAATAAATTGCTTTCACTGTCATCCACCAAGATGTAGGTGGGCGGACAATATTAAAATGGATCTTAGGCAGGATGGGATGGTATGGATTGGATTGATCTGGCTCAGGATAGGGACCAGTGGAGGGCTCTTGTGAACACAGTAATGAACATTGGGGTTCCTCAAAATGCTGGGAAATTCTTGAGTAGCTGCACAATTGGCAGCTTCTCAAGAAGGGCTCAGCTCCATGCATGAGTCATCCACTGAGAGTAGATGGTTGCAGTGTCATCAGAAGAGGTATATCCTGTAACTGCCAAAATAGGTAAATGGATTAAATATTATCTTACGTCCTGGTGGTAAAGCCTAATTTAGACAAGATCCTTCTCCAATGTAAAGCTCTTTTCAGTACTTACTGAGACAAGCAGTACCAGTAGCTCTCTGTATGGATGATTGGTCACAAGGCAACTACCATCAGTACGTAACACAGAATGGACAAATGGGATCTGAATTCATGATCGTAGTGTGTGAACAGTCTAAGACTTGTAGTCAGCAGAATATGCATAACTGTATAATATTTCTGTTAGGAAACAAGGTTAGAAAAGAAAAGCACAGAGAATGTTAAAAAGGGCATCCCCCCCAGAATTTCACTTTATTTGATGGTAATTATAAACAAATTTTTATATGAATACAATATAAGTGAAGCAAAGTTGCCTCTGGACCTAAATGCACCATAAAGACATATCAGGACATGAGTCATGGTCATAGGGCTTCATACATACATTCTCAGCCTGGCATTAGGTGGAGGTGAGTAGTCAAGCTCATAAGACAGCCACTTTAACCCAAGAGAAAGAGGCCAGTTATCCACCTGATAGAGGACTGGGTGGAACCCAGAACCAGTCTGTATCTGGATGTGAACAAAAAATCCCAATATCACATCCAAAATTTGAACCCTGGATGCACAGCCCAAGTCACCTGTCTTAACAATGAAGTTTACATAAGTCACGACATTGACAGTAATTAAATTATATAACGTAAATTATTGAGCTCATTGGTGGTCATAACTCTGGCCTGAAAATTTACTCTCTTCTGATATTAAACCTGAAAGTGTAAACCAAATATTATAAATGCCCACAATTGACCATGATCCTTAACAAGTTTTATGTGCGTTTATTACATCATTTTTCCCTAAGGACCATTTTAATGTCATCTTGCCATCTCATTTTCTGTCCTTTGGTTTTAAAAGGAAAAGGTATCCCTGTAACAGGCCGTGGAGGCCTATAGACTTGAGAGATGTCCCACATTTTCTAGACAATCGGCTCACAGACTGAATTTATTTTACTAATTCAAACAAAGATTTAAAAAGTGTACATTATACATCTATAATTGGTTATGGAATTTCAAGCACAAAATGTCATAAAAATCTGTTTACCGGGGCAAATTGGGGCAGCTTAATTAATGAAGCAACTAATTCTGGGTTGGATGACTGGAAATTTTTTTTAATTACCATGTCCATTTCAGCTCTAGAACCCCTAAGTCTCCTGTCTAATGAATATTTTCATGGTAGTAAAGCAGCAGTAACATTAAACTAACCATTCACCTTCCAGTAAGTGTTGAGGTCTAGACTATCCAGAGATTTATCTCCATGTCCCTTATATCTTAATGGCATGTTGTTTGGGCAGAGAATCAACTTCACTTGTATTTCTTGATGAGTGTCGCTGACACAAGGCCACAGACAAAGGAATATTCATGACATGTCAGAAGTTTTGTATGCCTTATTATACATGAAATATATATAAATACAGGGTGTTTTCAGTCCCACTAAGTGTTATAAGAAAGCACATGAAATCTCAGGAGTTTGGTATGCTTTGGTACACATGAAGAATATGTAAATATATGTCTGTAGTTCACTAATTCTGTTGTAAGAAAGCATGATGGCACCGTTCACACATTGTCCCAGTATTCATAAAGCAAGTAACTGACTGAAGCTTAGTAGGTTATGACTTACTTGGTGTAGAAATTTTCATTAGTGAGGTTGTAGCGTGTTCTGTAAGATCGCACCTTCACAGGACACAAATCATGAGTGCGACAGCATTTGTCCACATCTTTTTCTCTACCCAGTTCAAAGTATGTCTTTGCAATATCTGAATTACCACACCACTTGGTTCCTGCAACAGAAAACAGTGAAGACTGTACAACTGGTCAGTAACAGAACCCATATTATGCTTCCAAAATGTTCAGTTGTCATTTAAGATATTTCCCCAGTAATATTCCTTGTGCACATTATGCTTTCTCTATTCAAGCTACAGAGCCAGAAAACTGACCGAGCGACCACCGCTTATCGGCGAATTTAGTGCCAACTTTAGCAGATAGAGGGTGTAACGTGGCCAGTGCAACGAATCCCCACAGCTATCAATTTCGGTTTTCTAGACAAGAGCCGATATTTCCTTGAAATAACTCCTCAATTATCTACACAAGGCTGAGTAGACCCTGTTCCAGGCCCACTACTTTTCAGAAAATTTGGTAGCGCCAGGAATCGAACCCAGACCTCTGGATCTGTTGCCAGGAACTCTGACCACTGGAGCACAGAGTCACTCAGTCGGTATAGTTCTCTTACAGACTTTGTGTGTGTGTGTGTTTTTTTGTCATCCAGAAAACCTATGTAACTGACTGAACAGTTTTACATAGAAGAAGCATAACTAACCCTAAGATTGAGGGAATTTCTTGAACAGTTGATGGTTAGAAAGCTGTGCAAGAAATTCCCTGTAAACCAAATGACTGATCCCTGTGTTCAGGAAAGTCCATAACTGGATCCAATTCTGAGGTGGCTGAAATAGAAGCTTAGGGTCATTATATGCTACTGCATGGAGAAAGAAATGGAAAGACCATTAGCATGAGAGAGGATGAGTCAATGAAGAAAGGATGTAGAGGGAAGAGTATGGGTAACTACAAGGAGATGCTGGAATGAGGATTTTGAGGTTGATGCAGGCATGAAGTTGCCTAATCTGAGATGACAGACCTGGTACAATGCCAATAAATACTGTTCCAGTAACCCTTGGAGTCTTATTTGAATTTTCCGAAGTTTCCAGCGGAGATACAAAGTCATGGCACTGGTTCATCAGCTGGAACATCTCATCAAAAGTAATGCTCATTGGTTCAGAGACAGAACGCAGACTCTGTAAGGTGTCATTTACTTCCTTTGGAGTACTGCAAAGAAATCATTACATTACTACTCTGACAATATTTTTTACTATATAATGTTAACAAGTAAGCTTATCAATATTGTAACAGTGTTTAATATCTGCACTTCGTTTTCAGGAGGTTCTGGGATCATATGTCAGCCCAGTGCTCAGTTATCCTGACTTGAGATTTTGTAGTTTTCCTAATCATTTTCTAGGATAACATTTCCTGATAGGCCACCTCCACTCCATTCTACATTTTTTTAATTCATTATAATATATACCTTTTAATAGGAATCACCTTGTTCAAAATGTTTACTGTTGACATGTGTCACCCTCTAAGAGCCCAGGACTGGGCCTATTCTCAGCCTGTTGAATTCAGCCCACATCCTTGCATCATATAATAAATCATTTTAAAATTTAAAAATATGGAAACAACAACATAAAAACAGAAATATGGTTCATGATGAAATTAGAAGAAGACAAAATTTCATAAATAATTGTAATTATTCAGCTCCAGAAATGTTATGATCTATATATTTTCAAAACACCAAGGTCAATGGTGTCACCTAGTGAGTTCCACTATTAGTAGAAGCTGTTGTTTTAAAATGTGATAAATTGCAGAACTGGTAGTTAAAAGACATTTGAAAACATAAAATTAAACTGAATTGGAACAATGATAGTAATTGTCCGCATGGAGGAGCATCCTTAAAAAAATAAGAGTGACTCATCTAGTAAAGAAATTCCCAGCACTTTACAAAAGCCACAGGTTAATTACCAGCTTCACAGGAGTCACAGAAGCCAGCCAGTGGTCCCTATCTTCAGCCATATGAAATTAGCTCACATCTCCCATCCTGTTTTTTAAGATCCTTTGTAATATTATCCTCCCAGCTAGGTTTTCGAAGTGGAATTATTTCCTTCAAGATTTCCTGCCAGAATATGTATACATTTATTTTCTCTCCAGCCATGCTACATGCACTGACCATCTCATCCTCCCTGTTTTGATGATTCTAATAAATGTTTGGTAAAGAGTAAAAATTGTGAAGATCCCTGTTACAGAATTTTCTCCAGCCTGCTCTTACTTCTTCCTTCTTAGGTCCAAATATACCCCTCAGTACTCCTCTCTGAACATCCTCCATTTATGTTCTTGCTTAATGTGAGACACCAAGTTTCACACCCATACAAAATAACAGGCAAAAGATTCTGAACTGAATAGTAGCAAGCATTCCCTGAATTTAATATCTTCTTAATTTTTAATGAACACAATTTTGATTTGTAAATTTTGTTGTCAAATATTGGAACTTTTCCACATTTTCAAAGTATCTACCTTTATGTTACATTTCTGTCCTGCGTTCTGGTGGTGACACATATACACAGTTTTCTCTCCACTTACTTCTAGATAAACCTCCTTATGAACTGTGACATACAGTTATTAAAATAGTTAATGTAGTGAGAAGCACAACAAATGTGTTACAGTGAATGGCCCCTTCTGTGCAACAACAAATTTGAAGAACTGCATAAAAAGTAAAAGGTTTATTTGAGTAGGTTTGGCCATTGTAATTATTTGTTGTGTTGTGTTGTTTTTTTTTTTTTTTTCCTAACAAAACAGCTGTCTGCTCCTAAGCAGTTCATCTGTGATTTAGGCTACTTATAGATTGAAGGACATGGGTGGGATTCTCCAGTTTATGACAGCTCAATTCACTGGCTCGGCTAAGTATGATAAAACATTTTAAGTGCATATTTATTTTCCCTTGTGTTAATGGCTAAGGAAGAAACTGTGCTGCAGGGCATGATTGATAGACTAATTGAAATTGGAAGGTGCTATGGCATGGAAATGAATGTGGAGAAAACAAAAGTAATGAAAATTTCGAGACAACCAACTCCAGTCACAATAAAGATAGACCAAAAACAACTGGAGAATGTGAAATGTTTTAAATATTTGGGTAGCTTGTTAACAGATGATGGAAGGTGTACGTGTTAAATTAAATCCAGGATTGTCATGGCAAAAGCTGTATTTAGCAAGAAGAAGAATCTCTTTACCAGCAAATTGGACTTAAATTTGAGGAAGAAACTAGTGAAATGCTACATTTGGAGGATAGCTCTGTATGGGGCTGAAACATGGACACTTAGGGCAGTAGATCAGAAATATCTGGAAAGTTTCGAAATGTGGTGTTGGAGAAGGATGGAGAAGATCAGTTGGACCGATTATGTGAGAAATGAAGAAGTGTTAATTAGAGTCAGTGAGCAGAGGAATATCCTACACGAAATAAGAAAACGGAAGGCTAATTGGATTGGTCATGTTTTACGCAGAAACTGCCTTCTAAAAGAAGTTATTGAAGGAAAGATAGAGGGGCGGATAGAAGTGACAACAAGACAAGGAAGAAGACTTAAGGAGATGCTAGATGACCTTGGGGACAGAAGAGGATACTGTCATTTGAAGGAGAAAGCTCTAGATCGCATTAAGTGGAGGAACTGTTTTGGAAGAGACTGTGGACCTTTCGTCTGACAGATTACTGATGATGATGATGATTTCTTTTCTTGCAGCTGACCAGAAACCAGCACTACTTGAAATAAATGTATAACAACAATATGAACAATCTGTACTGCGATACAACCTGTCATTCCTTTGCGTATGTTCTGGCTGCAGTAAGTCCAAGTCACTAAACAACATCTTAAGTGTTGTATTTTAGCGTCCTGTTGCACTGATTTTCATCCATGATATGTATACAGTTGCCGTCTTGTAGTGCACTCAATTTCACCTGTTACTTCACGACATGTTTCGGCAACATAGTGCCATCATCAGGTGCCCTAATTACGCTAATCTATTTCATTGCTTGCCTTTATAAAATTATTTAAAAAGTATTTCCAAAGTGCGGGTTTGTCAACTATAATAAATTTACACACACTAAAACTTGTTAAGATCATTCATCTTATGTGTCATAATTAAAACTTGCGTGTGGTTCTTCCACTATGGGGGTCGTTTTTCTTATATTCTGTGTAAACCATGTCTTGTGATGTGTGTTCCCTTCTTAGCTGCGAGTGTTGTTGATTACAATTCATAGGTCGTCCATTCGGTAGCTTAGTTGCTATACAGACTGATCTATCCCAGCTACCGTATCTATAACTATTACAAGACTTTTATTTCAGTCTTAAATTCTTTAGTTTGTTGGCGACCCTTCGACAGCAACACTTTCGGCAGGATCAACTAGACGTATATGCTGCATACCACTTCCAAGTCTCCTCTTTGCATGCCGTTAGCCAGGAATGCCCACGTTATCATTCACAGCCCAGAGACTGAATCCTAACATCACAAGGTGCAGTCTTATTACCTGGTGACTCAAATGTTTGTTTTATTCTATCCCGAACCATCTATTCAACAAATGGGGGGAGGGGGTCGTTAGCATGCATATTCTTCGCCTCTCAAGGCAAGCAGGCAGTACTGGGGTGTATTCTACCCCATACCTACTCTGGTATTATTATTATTATTATTATTAGTTATTTATGAAGTAAAAATAGTCCTGTGTGGAAAACATGTCTGCCCATCGGTCTGTGTAACTGGTATCAGCGCTTAAAATGACGGGAGCATTATTTTAATTGGATTTGGGAGACTTTCATTAAACTATGTCGGGGAAATTCCGACGTACAGCCATACTGACCCTTATAAATTCCACTTTACTTAAGACTATACATAGGATTAACAGGCCACAAATACGTTTTAACAAAGCGCAAAGAACTTCTCTGGGGACTGTGGGTATACATACTGCTACATTTCAACCTTGCTGTTGTTATTGTTGCACTACTTGTTAACTTTTAATCTTTCAACAAGGGATAAATTGAGTTATTTTAATTTGTTATCGTTAAAGTTTATGTGAAGTTAACTTTACATATAAAATCACCACTACCTTAAACCACGGCAATTTTTATAAAGTACTGTAATTTGTTCGATCATGCCAACGTACGCATTTAAAGAATCTTTATCTTTCTTCGTCTGATTGCATTGCAATTGGCATAAAGATAAGGCGTTCCAAGAACTTATAAAGTCCGCTTTATAATTATAATTTATATATAATATTGGACGGTTTATGGTTTACTTCGCGTGCATACTTGGCCTTCTCGTGACAATTACACGAAATCGTGCGGCTTTTACTTACACAGATGTTTGCTTTGTGTTTGAAACTATGTCATCTGAGCGACAAGGACATAACTTAATTCACTGTTTTAACAGAGAAAACAGAGAAGGAGATAAATGTATGGAAGGGATAATGGAAAGGAGAAAAGGGGTTGAAGGATAAAGATACGAAAGAAAAGACACCCTACTGAATTTCAACGCGCTTTTTCTAGTAAACTTTTTAAAAACAGACGAAATAAACTTCAAAAATGCCCGTCAATATAAATGACGTTACAGATGTAATTATTCTTTTTTTAAAGTGAAAACAAATCTTCTGTTAACAAAATTATAATCTGAATGTTTGCTCTCCTCGGAAAATTAACTCCCTTGAGGAGAGCAGCCGACCGTATTTTTCGAGCCCTGCTTCTGAAATTCTGGCTGTGTAGGATCAGTAAAATGAAGTATCAAATAATAGTGCTAGTTCAGAGTACATCGATTTAATTTCTCTTCCGACTGATGGATTAACCATGACCTTGGGTCTGAGGCATTGTGCCTCGAGATAGGAAATGCAACTGAGTTTGACAAATATAGTATTTTGTTAACGGATATTTAAATTACAAAGAATGATCATTTAGTATATTGAGTCAATGACATGACTTTTACTCCATTGAAATGACGTCAAAGTAAATACGCATGTCTACAAGCTTCTTAGTAAAGCATGTTGAAATCTGTTATTCAAGGTTGTTGAGATTACTTAATTAGATACATTCAAAACTGTTGTACTTTAATGCAAAAAGCAGACTGAAAGAGACATGTCTTAAGGCGCGTCCACATTACTCGTGCTCGTGCTCGCCAGGCTTGTGCTCGTCGGGAGACTCGTCTGGCTTTTACTTGTGCTCGTAAATCTTCGTCCACACTAC